GAGACAGCACTCAAAATGCTAACATGTTTCTGTTCAGGCTGGTTATTTAAAGAGACACATTGGCAAAAAATGAGAAATTACTGAAAAGTCCAAAACAGGAAGGAGACCTTGAGAATGGCTACAATGAGAGTCGTTCACAGATAAGGTTATTAGGAAGGGTCTAGGCAAAAAACAGTTGTCCTTGTCCAAAAGGGTAACTGAAGAGTGATTAGTGAAGGGACCAAAGCATGGGCAGGCTTAGGGAAATATAAAAGTAGGAAATGTTACCATCCCTCATCCTCCTTCTGAACTAATGATGCAGCTTCTTGATCTATGGTTTTTGCAGAAAACCAAGCCGTTCCACAACTGTTGTGGCTGGTTGAGAGTTGGATACAATATCCTTTCATTTTAACTCTTTCTCTCCATCTTTGTCTCCTGTTGATGGAAAACTAAAAGAAGGTAAAGTAGCTACTTGAATGGAACTGGAGTCCATGATTCTAAATGAAATATCTCAGGAACAGAAAATGAAATACCACCTGTTCTCGTGAGAGCTGAGCTATGATTATGCATGGTCACAGAGAATGGAAAAAAAGACACTGAAGACTCCAAAGGTGGGTAGGTGGGAGGGCGTAAAGGATAAAAAGGACACATTGGGCTCAATGTACCCTATTTGGGTGATGGGGACACTGAAGGTCCAGATCTCATCTCTACAAAATATGTCCATAAAACAAACTGCACATGTACCCTCTAAATCTACTAAAAGAAAAATGAATGAATAAAAAGATATATTAAAAAGTCAAAGTAATCCAACTGATTTATTACAGAAATGTTAGCCCCTACCTCCTTCTTCTGTAATAAGAGAAAACAGAAATATTTAATAAAGGCGGTAAAATTCAGGAATGGCTGGTATACCATCTAACAATAACAACAGTAATCATAGTAAAAATTGTCATAATACCTTACTGCGGTGTAACACTTCACAGCCTACAATACGTACATCTGTGGCACAGTTTATCTCTCACAAATCCACTAGAAGAATTATTAAGGTCTTCATTTTCTAATACAAACATTTACACTTAGAAATGTTGGAACTTGGCCACAGCACATAACTGAAAAATGAGGTGCTTTCAATTCAAAAGACTGTGCAGGCTTCGTGAAATATAACCAGGTTATGGACATCAGGGGTGGCAATTTTTATGTCATGAATTTCTTTAGCCACTTTCTGTTTTCCTCATCCAGAAACA